TTCGTGTCATTACGATTTCGTGAGTCATGTTACCACATGGTAAGTTAGTTTATTCAGGTATACACAAATACAGTTACATAGATTATCATATATGGCATGTGTAGAAAATCTAGGATAACCCAAAAAAGTCAGTGACTTGTTTCCATTGGTGAAATATAACCGGTAGAAATATACTAGTTACCCTTTGAAAGTTAAGACACGTACAACATCTGGGTATCTTTATTGTAGACGTTTCGCCCTCCAGTGGCTTTATCAATACAGATTCTAGGACATAATTAGAAGACAGTAGAACATGACAGTAGATACATGAGTGGGTGTGGGTGGGTGTGAGTTGGACCTGACTAGCTTGTGCTGCTAGGCCAGATGAGTTAATTAGTCAGGAGTTGGTGTTCACAGCATCGTGGTGGAGGAGAATCTGGATCAGAGGCAAGAAGACTGGCGGTTATATAGGCGTCAGTGGATAAGGACGTGTAGCAGACGAGGGCATAGTCAGTGGTAGGCGGGATTCCCCAGTGGAAGTAGGTCCTACCCAAAGGGTTGAACCCAGTTACTCTTTGTTCACACTATGTATCTTGTTCGTAAATTCGTAACTATTTGTGTATACTTGGATTAAGATGAGTGGAACAAACTCCCAAGTACAGTTATTGAGGCTAAAACGTTGTGTAGTTTAAAAAATAGGTTAGATAAATACATGAGTGGGTGTGGGTGGGTGTGAGTTGGACCTGACTAGCTTGTGCTGCTAGGCCAGTTGCCGTGTTCCTTCCTTAAGTGAATGTGACCTGCCCTGACTAGGTAGATGTCGTTTTGATAAGGACCTGCCTCGTATGGGCCAGTAGGCCTTCTGCAGTGTTCCTACATTCTTATGTTCTTATTGGCTTAAGCCGGTAGGAGGCTTGGACCTGCCTCGCATGGACCAGTAGGCCTGCTGCAGTGTTCCTTCTTATGTTCTCAAGATGCATCTTCCTCGACCAGTGTTCCCTACACCCTGGCCGCCTTGTCTGGGGTAGGGAGGGTCAACTAAGGGGTTGTAAGGAATGGGTCTTCTGGTACCTGCCATACCCCCCCCCCCCCTCTCATTTTTCTCCATATTTCCTGTTTTACGAGTGTTGGGATGTGGTGGTGGTTCATAAGAATGAAGGAACACTGCAGGAAGATATATAAGTCTACCGTGGCTGGAAGATATACAAGTCTACCGTGGCTGGAAGATATACAAGTCTACCATGGCTGGAAGATATACAAGTCTACCATGGCTGGAAGATATACAAGTCTACCATGGCTGGAAGATATACAAGTCTACCATGGCTGGAAGATATACAAGTCTACCATGGCTGGAAGATATACAAGTCTACCATGGCTGGAATATATACAAGTCTACCATGGCTGGAATATATACAAGTCTACCGTGGCTGGAAGATATACAAGTCTACCATGGCTGGAAGATATACAAGTCTACCATGGCTGGAAGATATACAAGTCTACCGTGGCTGGAAGATGTGTAAGTTTACCATGGCTGGAAGATATACAAGTCTACCATGGCTGGAAGATATACAAGTCTACCATGGCTGGAAGATATACAAGTCTACCGTGGCTGGAAGATGTGTAAGTTTACCATGGCTGGAAGATATATAAGTCTACCATGGCTGGAAGATATATAAGTCTACCGTGGCTGGAAGATATGCAAGTCTACCATGGCTGGAAGATATACAAGTCTACCATGGCTGGAAGATATACAAGTCTAACATGGCTGGAAGATATACAAGTCTACCATGGCTGGAAGATATACAAGTCTACCATGGCTGGAAGATATACAAGTCTACCATGGCTGGAAGATATACAAGTCTACCGTGGCTGGAAGATATGTAAGTTTACCATGGCTGGAAGATATATAAGTCTACCGTGGCTGGAAGATATACAAGTCTACCATGGCTGGAAGATATACAAGTCTACCATGGCTGGAAGATATACAAGTCTACCGTGGCTGGAAGATATACAAGTCTACCATGGCTGGAAGATATACAAGTCTACCGTGGCTGGAAGATATACAAGTCTACCGTGGCTGGAAGATATACAAGTCTACCATGGCTGGAAGATATACAAGTCTACCATGGCTGGAAGATATACAAGTCTACCGTGGCTGGAAGATATACAAGTCTACCGTGGCTGGAAGATATACAAGTCTACCATGGCTGGAAGATATACAAGTCTACCATGGCTGGAAGATATATAAGTCTACCATGGCTGGAAGATATACAAGTCTACCATGGCTGGAAGATATACAAGTCTACCATGGCTGGAAGATATACAAGTCTACCATGGCTGGAAGATATACAAGTCTACCATGGCTGAAAGATATACAAGTCTACCATGGCTGGAAGATATACAAGTCTACCGTGGCTGGAAGATATACAAGTCTACCGTGGCTGGAAGATATACAAGTCTACCGTGGCTGGAAGATATACAAGTCTACCATGGCTGGAAGATATACAAGTCTACCATGGCTGGAAGATATACAAGTCTACCATGGCTGGAAGATATACAAGTCTACCATGGCTGGAAGATATACAAGTCTACCATGGCTGGAAGATATACAAGTCTACCATGGCTGGAAGATATACAAGTCTACCATGGCTGGAAGATATACAAGTCTACCATGGCTGGAAGATATACAAGTCTACCGTGGCTGGAAGATATGCAAGTCTACCGTGGCTGGAAGATATGCAAGTCTACCGTGGCTGGAAGATATACAAGTCTACCATGGCTGGAAGATATACAAGTCTACCATGGCTGGAAGATATACAAGTCTACCGTGGCTGGAAGATATACAAGTCTACCGTGGCTGGAAGATATACAAGTCTACCATGGCTGGAAGATATACAAGTCTACCGTGGCTGGAAGATATACAAGTCTACCATGGCTGGAAGATATACAAGTCTACCGTGGCTGGAAGATATACAAGTCTACCATGGCTGGAAGATATACAAGTCTACCATGGCTGGAAGATATACAAGTCTACCATGGCTGGAAGATATACAAGTCTACCGTGGCTGGAAGATATACAAGTCTACCATGGCTGGAAGATATACAAGTCTACCATGGCTGGAAGATATACAAGTCTACCATGGCTGGAAGATATACAAGTCTACCATGGCTGAAAGATATACAAGTCTACCATGGTAATGCGTATTACCTGGAGTTTACCTGGGGAGAGTTCGGGGGGTCAACGCCCATGTGGCCCGGTCTGTGACCAGGCCTCATGGTAGATCAGGGCCTGATCAACCAGGCTGTTACTGCTGACTGCACGCAATCCAACGTAGGAACCAGGAAGCGTTAAAGCTTCATGGTCAATATTGGTGTGACTGACTCATTTGGTGATGTCAAAGGCCACAGTATTTGTCAGTTATTATTTTACTCTTCTATGGCTGTTATCATTGAACAATACTCTTCTCCAGACTGAGGGACTGACCACCTCAAAACTTTAAGGGTGATGGACTGATTACATCGTCTTCAAGTATCTTCTGCTTCTATCAACTTTTCTGTACTTGACTGAAGAAGCCTACTGTGTAGGCGAAACGTTTCGAAATAGACACCTAACTGTTGCATATGTGTCTTACCTAACAAAAAGTAGGGGCACTACTTGTACACTAAGAGACAACACAATAAGTGTCCTGGGCCCAAGACTGTTCAACAGCCTCCCACCAGCCATAAGGGGAATTACCAATAGACCCCTGGTAGTCGTCAAGAGGGAGCTGGACAGATACCTAAAGTCACTGCCAGATCTGCTGGGCTGTGATTTGTATGTTGGAGTATGTGCGGCCAGCAGTAACAGCCTCGTTGATCAGGCCCTGATCCACCAGGAGGCCTGGTCATGGACTGGGCCACAGGGGTGTTGATCCCCGGAATGCCCTTCAGGTAGGCCGCTTGGTGGATCAGGGCCTGATCAATCAGGGTTTTACTGTTGCACGCACATAATCCAATGTACGAAGCACAGCCCGACTGATCCAGCACTGACTTAAGGTATCTGTCCAGCTCCCTCTTGAAGACAACCAGGGATCTATTGGTAATTCCTCTTATGGCTGGTGGGAGGCTGTTGAACAGTCTTGGACCCAGGACACATATTGTGTTCTCTTAGTGTATCAGTGGCGCCCCTACTTTTCACTGGGGGTACGTTGCATCGCCTGCCAAGTCTTTTGCTTTCATAGGGAATGATTTCTGTTTGCAGATTAGGGACCAATCCCTCCAGGATCTTCCAGGTGTAACTGGAGGCCTTCCAGATGGTGGAGGACCCTGGGCTGCAGGCCCTAGGCCCCGTGCTTTAATTCGACCCTGAATTTTTGGTGTTGGAACATTTAAGCATTATTGTGTTTGCAGATTAGAAAATATGAATACAACCTCAGATTAACAGGTAATATAGATACACATGTTGAGGGCTGAAGTTCTTGTTATTGTTAAAAAACACTTCTCTCCAGTGAACATTAAAATGGTATAAAATACCGACAGGTTGTTAGGTAAGACACACATGCAACAGTTAGGTATCTTTATTTCGAAACGTTTCGCCTACACAGTAGGCTTCGAAATAAAGATACCTAACTGTTGCATATGTGTCTCACTTCTCTTCAGGTTTGGAAGTCGGGACAAACTAAGCACACGCTGAAGCACACGTTGAGTAGCTTTAAAAGTAAACAAGTAGCATGGCAGCGGCTCCGTAATTGGTAAATTTAGTGGGAGACAGGGATTGCTGTGAGGAGGGGATGTGCCATAGGGAAACCAGTGCCAAATAAAGAAATGTGTACCTACATGTATATTGATGGAAGTGTTTTGCACTGTTAGGCCAGACAAGAAAATTCACTGATTTTATGTATTGTATTTAGGACTGCTTATGTGATTGTCATCCTTCGTACATGTGTTCCATGTCGTAATTTTGGTATTCTGTTCATCTTTTTATATTTTAATGTAAGTTATATTAAGAGAATATTAAAATAATGTATGTTGTGTTGCAACAGGTTGTTACGGAAGGAACGTGATCTGTCAGCAGCAGAGAAGGCGCTAGCCAACGCTGAGAGTCAGGTGGCAGATCTCACAGCCAAGCTCAACAGCTCGGAATCTGAAAGAAAAAAACTCGTCAATGAAATCAGAGTGAGTTGTTCCCTATCAGACAAATTGTGAATTTGTTGATTTTATTTATGTTAAAGTGGTTTTGTATAACCCCTTGTGGATTTAGTGCTTAGTTTTGATTAATAATAATAATTTTGCTTCTACCAAGGCAAGCAAATGTTTTTATTTGATGTGCTGTAGATTGTGAGATTACTGTTTAAATAATGGGCAAAAAGTTAAGACTTCACAGATTGTTTGTTATAACAAGATATGTTAAAGTATTCTAATATTTACAAGTTATATTGAGCAATATAGAGTGCATTGTTGGGGTATTGAGTACAGTATTGCATGGTGCTCCTTTGTAATTGAAACTACTCATGATTACACACACACTTCACAGTGGTACCTTCTTGAGAGCATTGGTGGTTTTGGCAAGTAATAAAACCCTTGTAAATACACCTACCATCCGACTTACGACCGTGTTCGGTTCCGAGAAACCGTTCGTAAATCGAGCAGGTCGTAAGTCGGATGGTAGGTGTAGTCTAAGATTGCAGAAAGGTTTTACATAAGTGATCACAATTCTCCTTTAATACACAAACGACCCACGCATAGAAAGAAGCTGACGGCATTTCAGTTCGACATAAATTCTTTCTTTTCTGCAGTAATCAGGTAATATAGTTTACATATTAGGCAAACTATGTCAGTTTGCGTGCGACTAGCAGTAACAGCCTGGTTGATCAGACCCTGATCCATCATGAGGCCTGGTCTCAGTCCAGGCCGCAGGGGTGTTGACCCCTGAAACCCTCTCCAAGTATACCAGTAGTTTTTAAATGTCGTTATAAGCTTTTCTCCTATGTGAGGATTGTATATTGTTCTGGTCACGGTGTTGACTATACGTATATTTTTTTTTTTTTTTAATATTAACTGGATATCTTGCTACTCCTACTAACACTTTGGTCACACTTCACAGACACGCACATGCATATATATATATACATACATCTAGGTTTTTCTCCTTTTTCTAAATAGCTCTTGTTCTTTTTTATTTCTTCTATTGTCCATGGGGAAGTGGAAAAGAATCTTTCCTCCGTAAGCCATGCGTGTCGTATGAGGCGACTAAAATGCCGGGAGCAATGGGCTAGTAACCCCTTCTCCTGTATACAATTACTAAAAAAGAGAAGAAGAAAAACTTTATAAAACTGGGTTGCTTAAATGTGCGTGGATGTAGTGCGGATGACAAGAAACAGATGATTGCTGATGTTATGAATGAAAAGAAGTTGGATGTCCTGGCCCTAAGCGAAACAAAGCTGAAGGGGGTAGGAGAGTTTCAGTGGGGGGAAATAAATGGGATTAAATCTGGAGTATCTGAGAGAGTTAGAGCAAAGGAAGGGGTAGCAGTAATGTTAAATGATCAGTTATGGAAGGAGAAAAGAGAATATGAATGTGTAAATTCAAGAATTATGTGGATTAAAGTAAAGGTTGGATGCGAGAAGTGGGTCATAATAAGCGTGTATGCACCTGGAGAAGAGAGGAATGCAGAGGAGAGAGAGAGATTTTGGGAGATGTTAAGTGAATGTATAGGAGCCTTTGAACCAAGTGAGAGAGTAATTGTGGTAGGGGACTTGAATGCTAAAGTAGGAGAAACTTTTAGAGAGGGTGTGGTAGGTAAGTTTGGGGTGCCAGGTGTAAATGATAATGGGAGCCCTTTGATTGAACTTTGTATAGAAAGGGGTTTAGTTATAGGTAATACATATTTTAAGAAAAAGAGGATAAATAAGTATACACGATATGATGTAGGGCGAAATGACAGTAGTTTGTTGGATTATGTATTGGTAGATAAAAGACTGTTGAGTAGACTTCAGGATGTACATGTTTATAGAGGGGCCACAGATATATCAGATCACTTTCTAGTTGTAGCTACACTGAGAGTAAAAGGTAGATGGGATACAAGGAGAATAGAAGCATCAGGGAAGAGAGAGGTGAAGGTTTATAAACTAAAAGAGGAGGCAGTTAGGGTAAGATATAAACAGCTATTGGAGGATAGATGGGCTAATGAGAGCATAGGCAATGGGGTCGAAGAGGTATGGGGTAGGTTTAAAAATGTAGTGTTAGAGTGTTCAGCAGAAGTTTGTGGTTACAGGAAAGTGGGTGCAGGAGGGAAGAGGAGCGATTGGTGGAATGATGATGTAAAGAGAGTAGTAAGGGAGAAAAAGTTAGCATATGAGAAGTTTTTACAAAGTAGAAGTGATGCAAGGAGGGAAGAGTATATGGAGAAAAAGAGAGAGGTTAAGAGAGTGGTGAAGCAATGTAAAAAGAGAGCAAATGAGAGAGTGGGTGAGATGTTATCAACAAATTTTGTTGAAAATAAGAAAAAGTTTTGGAGTGAGATTAACAAGTTAAGAAAGCCTAGAGAACAAATGGATTTGTCAGTTAAAAATAGGAGAGGAGAGTTATTAAATGGAGAGTTAGAGGTATTGGGAAGATGGAAGGAATATTTTGAGGAATTGTTAAATGTTGATGAAGATAGGGAAGCTGTGATTTCGTGTATAGGGCAAGGAGGAATAACATCTTGTAGGAGTGAGGAAGAGCCAGTTGTGAGTGTGGGGGAAGTTCGTGAGGCAGTAGGTAAAATGAAAGGGGGTAAGGCAGCCGGATTGATGGGATAAAGATAGAAATGTTAAAAGCAGGTGGGGATATAGTTTTGGAGTGGTTGGTGCAATTGTTTAATAAATGTATGGAAGAGGGTAAGGTACCTAGGGATTGGCAGAGAGCATGCATAGTTCCTTTGTATAAAGGCAAAGGGGATAAAAGAGAGTGCAAAAATTATAGGGGATAAGTCTGTTGAGTGTACCTGGTAAAGTGTATGGTAGAGTTATAATTGAAAGAATTAAGAGTAAGACGGAGAATAGGATAGCAGATGAACAAGGAGGCTTTAGGAAAGGTAGGGGTGTGTGGACCAGGTGTTTACAGTGAAACATATAAGTGAACAGTATTTAGATAAGGCTAAAGAGGTCTTTGTGGCATTTATGGATTTGGAAAAGGCGTATGACAGGGTGGATAGGGGGCAATGTGGCAGATGTTGCAAGTGTATGGTGTAGGAGGTAGGTTACTGAAAGCAGTGAAGAGTTTTTACGAGGATAGTGAGGCTCAAGTTAGAGTATGTAGGAAAGAGGGAAATTTTTTCCCAGTAAAAGTAGGCCTTAGACAAGGATGTGTGATGTCACCGTGGTTGTTTAATATATTTATAGATGGGGTTGTAAGAGAAGTAAATGCGAGGGTCTTGGCAAGAGGCGTGGAGTTAAAAGATAAAGAATCACACACAAAGTGGGAGTTGTCACAGCTGCTCTTTGCTGATGACACTGTGCTCTTGGGAGATTCTGAAGAGAAGTTGCAGAGATTGGTGGATGAATTTGGTAGGGTGTGCAAAAGAAGAAAATTAAAGGTGAATACAGGAAAGAGTAAGGTTATGAGGATAACAAAAAGATTAGGTGATGAAAGATTGAATATCAGATTGGAGGGAGAGAGTATGGAGGAGGTGAACGTATTCAGATATTTGGGAGTGGACGTGTCAGCGGATGGGTCTATGAAAGATGAGGTGAATCATAGAATTGATGAGGGAAAAAGAGTGAGTGGTGCACTTAGGAGTCTGTGGAGACAAAGAACTTTGTCCTTGGAGGCAAAGAGGGGAATGTATGAGAGTATAGTTTTACCAACGCTCTTATATGGGTGTGAAGCGTGGGTGATGAATGTTGCAGCGAGGAGAAGGCTGGAGGCAGTGGAGATGTCATGTCTGAGGGCAATGTGTGGTGTGAATATAATGCAGAGAATTCGTAGTTTGGAAGTTAGGAGGAGGTGCGGGATTACCAAAACTGTTGTCCAGAGGGCTGAGGAAGGGTTGTTGAGGTGGTTCGGACATGTAGAGAGAATGGAGCGAAACAGAATGACTTCAAGAGTGTATCAGTCTGTAGTGGAAGGAAGGCGGGGTAGGGGTCGGCCTAGGAAGGGTTGGAGGGAGGGGGTAAAGGAGGTTTTGTGTGCGAGGGGCTTGGACTTCCAGCAGGCATGCTTGAGCGTGTTTGATAGGAGTGAATGGAGACAAATGGTTTTTAATACTTGACGTGCTGTTGGAGTGTGAGCAAAGTAACATTTATGAAGGGATTCAGGGAAACCGGCAGGCCGGACTTGAGTCCTGGAGATGGGAAGTACAGTGCCTGCACTCTGAAGGAGGGGTGTTAATGTTGCAGTTTAAAAACTGTAGTGTAAAGCACCCTTCTGGCAAGACAGTGATGGAGTGAATGATGGTGAAAGTTTTTCTTTTTCGGGCCACCCTGCCTTGGTGGGAATCGGCCGGTGTGATAATAAAAAAATATAATAAATAAAATTAACTGGAAGTATAAGAATTTTAGCTGCACTTTTAATTCAGTGGGACCTTTCTAAATGAGGCATTTAACAAGTTTTCTGAAAAAAAAGGCCTAAAATACAGTAATAAAGTATAAGAGAAATGCCTACCTGGGTGTCAGCTGAACATTAAGACTCTTGATAACTGCTTTGTCACTGGGCAACAGCCGTGTATGTTGCTGGAACTTGATCTCTTGGTAGCCCACCATTCATATTTTGCTATTTGTGTTGCATGCACACTTGCAATTACTTTCTCAGGCTTGATAGCTGGATGATTGTTATTGCCTAGTGTTGTTCAGTTGGCTTGCTGTGTTGAAATTGAGATACTCTGGGGGTTCTTGCACAGGTAAGCTTGTGGTTTGTGGAAAGAAGGGGATACCTGAGTAGGTTTTGAGGAGTAAGTTGCTAAGCAAGTTGGTATAAGTTTCAACCACTGGTGACGGCTGGTGCTGAGCGAGTAGGTGTGTGATGTACCAGTACGTGGTCAGCTCTGGGATGGTGAGGTACGGAAAAAAAGGCTCGGGAGCTTCAACGATGGTGGCACGGCAGTGTGAAGGGGAACTTGATCAGGTTTGTGTTAGGTACTGTTGGTGGGGAGAGGATTGACCTGGAGGTTGATGAATGTTGTTTTTGTTAAGAGGTTCAAGAAACTTGTGATTTTTACCAAGTTACTTTATTTAAACGAGTTCATTTGGCAGCACGGCAGTATTGTTTGTTTATAGGTAAATTACACAATACACACACAACAAGCACATAGGAGAGAGAAACTTACGGCAACATTTCGGCCCCACTTGGACCTTTATTTATATATTATTCCGTTCACGGTATTGTGCCTATTTGTTTTTTAAAGGTAAATTTATTTAAAGTCGCAAACTATTTAGGAATTTAAAAAAAATGGAATTTTTTTACATGACGTATGTTAGGCCCATCGTGTGTGGGGGCACCAGCAGAAATTTGGAAAGACCCTGGGAGAGGCTGACAGAAATCAACTCAGTGATTTAGGCCTAGAGAAGTCATGGCTAACAACTTATTTAGGAAGTGATAGGGCAGAACAGGGATAGACTGAATTACAAGAACCAAGGATGTGGGTTAAGCTGATCAGAATGAACCGTAGGGATGTTAGGAGGTGCAGTGCCCAAAGGATGCTTTCAGGGGTCAGTGCCCCTTTGGTTCAGTCCCAGACCAGTCCTGGTGGATCAAGATCTGAGCAACCAGGCTCTTATTGCTGGCCACGTGCAGTCCATACTTTGAGGCCATTATTAAGCAAAGTTAAGGGTTGTATTGACATGGCAGTATAGAGCTGTGGTTAATCTAATAACTAATATACATGAATGTTTTTTCTCTAGGAGTTACGTGATGAGGTTGCTAGATTGAGCAGGCAACTTGCCGAGGCCAAACAGCAGCTTGAGAGCGAGACGTTGATGCGAGTTGACTTGGAGAACAGATGCCAGTCATTGAAGGAGGAGCTACAGTTCAAACAACAGGTTGATTGATGAAGATTTACGTTTGAAACATTAAAAAAAGTACCGAGTGCAAATGTAATGTTAATAAATAATCTTTGGATTTACAAGTGCTCCTCGACTGAGTAAATAAGTACTGTCACTGAATAACTAAAATAATTAGTGTAACTAAATACCAGTATTTAAAAGTAAATATTTGAATGCATGTTTATCCTATCAATAAATGTACAGTACAGAAAATAGTTTGACAGTTTTATCGCACCATTGTAAAATCGAAATATCGTAAGTCGAGCCATCATAAAGTGAGGAGCATGTATATATTGTTTTTTCTCCTTTCCTTAGTCTCTTCCTCTTTAATTTTCTTACAGCTTGGAAGAATAAGATGAAAGGTGTATGAGAAAACCTACATTGTCATTACAGGTGTTTGAGAAGGAGGTAACAGAGACCAAGAACAGGAAGCACGTGGAGCTCTCTGAGATAGATGGGCGTCTCCAAGGAGAGTACGAGGCGAAACTCCACGAAGCCCTGAAGGAACTGCGAGACCAGTATGAAGAACAGTTGAAGAACAACCGTAGCGAGGTTGAATACCTCTACGAGACAAAGGTACGTTGATTAGTACCTTTGTCTCATTGACTAGTACCTTTGTCTTCATGCCAAAAGTGCTCGATTTTTTCTCGATTTGTTTAGAATTTTTAATGCTAGGGAGGTCTACTTGAAATAAGTTTCCATGTATAACTCCAGACTAACGTGTTAGCCACTGGACCAGCTGGCCCAGTGGCTAACTCATCGATCTGGAGTTTTACGACTAACCGCAAGTTCATGCCCCACCCGTGGTATTGTTTCTTTCCATGTATACTCTGAGGACAAATGTTAAAATATTGTGTAATCATTCAGATTGGAATTTGTTGCTGATATTGGGGAACATGTAAAATAATAAGCATTGCAGTGAATACGAGGCTTATCACAATTCTATTTCAAACTCCCTCTAATGTTAAGTTGCTGCCATTGTTGTCATATACAGTGGACCCTCGAATTTAGTCCTGCCTTTTCTGTATGCAAAACTATTTTTATTATTTATAAAATGTATGTTTTGTTAATATATCCCATAGGAAATAATGTAAATCCAATTAAACCATTCCAGACACACAAAAATATTAACAAACAATACATTTTATAGATAATAAAAATAGTTTTGCATACAGAAAAGGCACGACTAAATTCGAGGGTCCACTGTAATTGTATTTTGGTGCAAATGTGTGAATTTCATTTAAAATTTTTTATTAAAAATGTATATTTGTAGCTTGATTTTAAGCCTTTACACAAATATTCATTACAAAATCATAAATTCTGATACAGTACCTAAAATAAAAAAAAAAATTCTATTTTGTTTATGATAGAGGAAAAACTTTTACAGAATTGTAAATTTTGATACATAACCAAGAATAGACAAAAAATTGTATTACGTATTCGCAGATTGAGGAACTTAACAGGCGAGACCAGCGGGTGACTGAAGGCTCTGATGCTCTCACTGGATCATTACGTGACTGCAAGAGAAAGGTGCAGGAGCTGCAGTCCCGGCTCACTTATCTGGAGAGCACAAACCACACATTGGAGGTACGGTAATGTTTGACACTGAATGTCGAACAAACCAAACATTGGTATTAAGGTAATGTTTAATGTATGAATGGATTTTTTTAATGTGCCAGCCATATCCCACCGAGGTAGGGTAACCGAGAAGGGGCTATAAGCCCTCTTGTTTCCTGCACCAGTGGTAATTCTAGATGGTACAGCTGGCTCAATGGACAACATTGTCAAAGTAATTCCATCAATAAAATTTCAACCTGGATAAATTGTAGGTATGTAATACTGTAATAATATAGCTAGATTCACTAATTTTGAAAGTTGAACCCTTGTTTCGTGGATCTTATTTCATTCCATAGTTAATGAGGTTTTGTGGGCGAGGAGCTTGGACTTCCAGCAGGCGTGCGTGAGCATGTTAGTGAAAGGAGACAAATGGTTTTTGGGACCTGATGAGCTGTTGTGGTATGAGCAGGGTAATATTTCGTGAAGGGATTCAGGGAAACCGGTTAGCCAGACTTGAGTAATGGAAATGGGGAATACAGTACCTGCACTTTAAAAGAGGGGTTTGGGACATTGGCAGTTAGGAGGGACATACAAACTGTCGTATCTGATGATGTATGAGTGATGGTGAAAGTGTTGAATGACGAAAGTTTTTTCTTTATTTTTGGGTCACCCTGTCTCGGTGGGAAACGGCCAGTGTGTTAAAAAAGTGTGTGTGTAGTCAAAACTTAATGTATGAATGTTTTTTTTTTTTTTTCATGGATGGGATTACATTTTGAAATTAAGTTTATACTGAGATATTGTTTGGCATTTTCTTTTATTGGGAAATATTATTTTTAGCAGCTTAGATATTGTTTACTATTGCTTTTCTTATTGGAAAATATTTTAACACTGGCCATCTCCGGCTGTAACAGCAACGAGTGACGGATCTGGAGGCTCAGCTGGAGTCCGAGAGGGACGCCCATGCAGCAGAAATTATGTTGCTGAAGGACGAGATCACTCGCCTGCAGAACGAGATGGCCCTGCAGCTTCAGGAGTACCAGGATCTTATGGATATCAAGGTGGCTCTTGATATGGAGATTGCAGCCTACAGAAAGCTTCTCGAAGCTGAAGAAGCGAGGTGAGTGCTAGTTTCATAAATCTAATAGCATTCTGTTTAAAGTAAGTTGATAATTAAGATACTTGGGCAACATTTGGGAATTCTTATTCTGGAAACATTTTTCCACCCAGTGACTTCTTCAGTCCAGTACAGTGGAACCTTTTTGTTTGAGCTTAATTGGTTCCTAGGTGGTGTTCGAACTGTGAAAAGATCAATGTCCTAAACAGTATTTCTCAGCCTCACTCACTGGAGGATATTGAAATTACTCTTCCAGAAGTCTGTTTGAGAGTTAGGCTAGTGTCAGAGGTCACTTCAGAGCACTTTTCAAACAGTTTTCATGTTTTTTTTTTTTTTACAACCGAGTTGTAAACAAGTCAACAGTTTTCATGTAGTTTTTTTTTTTTACAACCGAGTTGTAAACAAGTCAACAGTTTTCATGTAGTTTTTTTTTTTTACAACCGAGTTGTAAACAAGTCAACAGTTTTCATGTAGTTTTTTTTTTTTACAACCGAGTTGTAAACAAGTCGGTGTGTTCGGACTATAGAAAGACATTCAAAGACAGGGTCAGTTTTTTCTGAACAAAATTGTTCGGGTTCCAGTTTGTTCAAGGTCCATTACATTCAAACACCAGGGTTCCATTGTACTTTCTGTACTGAACTTAAGACTCCATTGGCTGGTGAAATATTTCTATACACATTGTATAGTAGTGCATTCATTTAAAAGAAACTGATAGTGAACTTACATGAGGATATAAGAGAGGGGGGGCAGAGAGAGGGGGAGGAGGGCCCTGCCCACAGGATGCAGCAGAGTGAAATTCCTCACTGTAATTTTAAAGTTAGTGGTGCATCATTATTAACCCGTAAACGGTCCAGACGTATATATACGTTTTTTCAACATTTGAAAGTATGTAAAAAAGTAGATCTTTTTTTTTTTTTTTTTACATTTGAAAATATGTAAAAAAACTTAGATCAACTTTTTTTTTTTTTTTTGTTATATTTGAAAATATGTAAAATAAAAAGTAGATCTACTTTTGTAGCACTACACATGTGAACGTAGATCTGCTTGGACCGTTTACGGGTTAAAGTTAATGGTGCATCAATATTGATGCATTAAGTCAATCATTAGTGATGGAATGTCTCATGATCTTTCAGTACTTCTGTAGGTCATGTGATATTTGCAAAGTTGATCCCACATTAACTTTTTTTTTTTTTTTTTTTTTTTTTTTTTTTTTTTTTTTTTTTTTTTTTTTTTGTATATTGTGTATGATTTCAACTTTGCATCCTTGTTATACTTCTTTGCTATCTCCAAAGGAGGTGCCTTCTTGCTTGTAAAAAGCTCTTCATCCAAGGAATTTAAGCTATTCTCTCCTTCCATGGACCAAACCTGATTACCTGCCTTTTCCCACGTTGTATGATGCTTTGGCGTTTAAGTTTACCCCTCGCCTGTGAAGATAATGTTGTGTGTCGTCAGATTGAATATCTCAACTAGCCGAGTCATAGCAAGTTCTTCAGGGAGAGACACTCCAATAAGACGTACTCCAATCAAGGCATTGAAACGCAAGAGAACAGTCTTGGAAGAAGACTCCATGAGAAAGTCGGCATTCCAGTCAACTGCCCGGTCAGTCGGTGACATCGAAATTGTCGAAGATTGTCCTGACGGGAAGTATGTCAAGCTGCAAAATAAGAGTGAAAAGGTAAATAATTACCAGAGTTTGTAGATGATAGGCTTTGAAAGTGGTAGACTCTTGAGCAGGTTCTTTCTCTTTATACCTTTGTGAACTAGGTCTGTTGTGTGGGGTGCTGGCAGCAACAGCAACCTTGTTGACTGGGCAGTCATTGATGAAGCCCAGCCTTAGGAGGTTAAGTTATAACAAAAAAAGGCACAATACCGTGACTGGAACGATACACAAATAACCCGCAGCTTGCATTTACAAAGTGTGACTTTGTAAATGGTCCAAGTCAGACCGAAACGTCGTCGTAGCTCCTCTCTTCTATGTGCGGGTTATTTATGAGGTTAAGTTATGTTAGGTCTCTAAGTTTGGTTAGGCTAAGTGAGATTTCCATTTTTTTTTTTTCAAAAATGTAAATTTCTGTATCACTGTCAATATTAAAAAAAATTTATCTATGATTCTGTAGAAAAATTCTTTGGAAAAGTTTAATTTTTAAGGGAATTTGGCCTGTGTGGCCAGGCTCTGATAGAGTAACTTGAAACCATTCACAGGTATGTGCAGTATTCACTTTTGAACCCACATTTCCCCTTGGCTTGTGTTAAACTTTATGTATATTTAGAGAGACTGGAAAGATAAATCTGTAGTTGAAGGAAGGCGGGATGGGTCGGCCTAGGGGAGGTTGGAGGGAGGAGGTAAAGGGTGTTTTTTTTGTGGGAGGGGCTTGGACTTCCAGCAAGCATGCACAATACCGTGACTGGAACAATACACAAATAACCCGTACATAAGAGAGACTTTGGACAACGTTTTAGTCCAACTTATACCATTAACCACATGGGTTATTTGTGTATAATAAAGGCTCTTTGATTCAAGAAATGGAGTTTCCCCTCTCTGCATCAAACCTGATGACCTTCCATTTTTCCCAGAGTTTAGTGCTTTCCCATAACTAGTTAAGTAAGAATGAATATAATTGTATTTTTTCCTACTTACATTATCCTTAAATCAATTTTAATATATGTATATATCGAATCCTTTCTTTACTTGACAGTTGTAACCTTTTCAAAATGTTCGGTAGGATTTCTCCATCGGAGGATTCCAGATCATTCGTTCTGCTGGCGAGGCTGAAACCACATACAAGTTCCACTCCAAATCCAAGATTCCTGCCAACTCCACCATCACCATCTGGTCATGTAACACAGACGCCACACATGAACCTCCTCTCTCAATAGTCATGAAGAATCAAAAGTGGGCTGTTGCCGACAGCATGACCACACGGCTACTAAGCACTAGTGAGGTAGGATCATCTGTCATACACTCAAGTCTCCAGCCTCTACTCTGTTCATTATATTGGGTAGGCTCTAAAGGCAAAAAGGATGCTGTGGCTCACTCAGGCTGGCTCTTGGAGCAGCCTGAGTCCTAGGGCATGATTGAGATTTACCCCATTGATCAGTGACATTATCACATGATTCCTGTGTGATTTGTGACCTATGGAAATTTTGAAAGCTGGCCTGATAGTCTCTGACAGGCTTTCAAGAAAGTTATAGATTAACTTATTGGAGAGATAGGAGGGAAGGATATGGGAGGTGAGGAAAGAGATTGTGAAGATTTTAAATAAAAATGTTGCTTGTTGATAGTTTAAATAACCATTTTCTTGATGTAATTCATAGCCATTTTTCTTCCATGGTTGCTCTTAATGCTTTTACAACTAGTAAACAACACCTTGCAGGAAATGGCAGTTCGTGAAACCAAGCGGCAGTTGGAGTCATATTCGAAGACCATGGAGCGAGAGCTGGGATCTCATCCAGACCCCAAGGTATAGTGATATTGTTGTTGTGGCTCTTACAAAGAATGCTTTGCTTGTTGCTGTAAACATCGAATTGCATGGGTTAGCTGTTCTGTAAGAGTTTTTGATGCTAAGCTCTAGCTATTGGTCCTACATCTTTTCAACAGACTGGTGTGTAATTTGTTGAGTCTACTTGTGTGATCATTTCTAATTTTGAACTTTAATTTTAGGTTGAAAAAGTTTGAGAGAGACCCATTTTAGTTAGTTTGTGAGAGACCCATATGAGTTAAATCACTGATATTGCTTCATAGCTTTTCCATTTACAGAACACTTGGCTCTCTGTATTGCTCATTTTTCTTGGTTTAGGTACCAGTCTGGATGTATTCCTTTACACTTTCTCCAGTTTTCCTTCATGATTTGCTAGTGTTAAACACCAGCACTGCATGTTTAAGTATAGGTTGCACATGAGATTGTATAAGCACTGATGCATACGGGTTTAGCACCTATTTTTTTAATATAATAAACTTGTGTAGGAAATGGGAAGTACAATGCCTGCACTCTAAAGGAGGGGTTTGGGATATTGGCAGTTTGGAGGGATATATTGTATTTTTATACGTATATACTTCTAAGCTGTTGTATTCTGGGCACCTCTGCAAAAATAGTGATTGTTTGAGTGAGGTGAAACTGTTGAATGATGATGAAAGTATTTTTTGGGGGGGATTTTCTTTCTCTTTGGGTCACCCTGCCTCAGTGGGAGACGGCCAACTTGTTCAAAAAAAAAAAAAAAAAAAAATGTGTAGGTTCCTAAAGCCATATTTGTATTAGGTAGTTTATACTGTGCTGCTGATGTTTTTCTGTTAATTCCTCAAAATCATTCGTTTGATACGAGTATTTGCATCAGAAGTTTGAAGTCGGGATGGAACGATAACCACAGTTTTGACTGATACTGTTACTAATACCTTGGCACTTTTCTAGTTTGAGGCTATATAGAAAGATTGGTTATTTTGATGAGGAATAGGTAAACACACCAGTGCACTGGCCTAGAGTTTTAGGATTCACGTGTCATGGGTTCAGACCTCACCCATTCCATGGTTTATGAGGAATGGGGTTATGGTGAGGGTACATTTAGGATAGTGTAGACGGAGGTGAACATTACAAGCTCTACTCAAGTTGTCTTATTCTACCCAAATGGGTGATTAACAGATTTTTATTATTTCAGAACACTTTTTATTGGGGCAACATTAAATTCTTAAGGACTTTATTAAATCAGGCATAATTTGATCAAAATTCTACATGGCTAAATATTGTCCCAGTTAGAGCCTGCTCTGCAGTGCATGTCTTACCCTCACTACTGTTGGCACTATGCCTTTAGGATACAAAAGGAGTACAAATTCTGGTATGTAGGTGCTCCTTGACTTAAAATGGTTCAGCTTGAGATATTTCAAATTTACGATGGTGTGCCCCTCAAGGAAGGTTCCTTGATGTTGGTGAGGGGCTCTTGATTTAGGGAATTGGATCTGTGCTCCAGTTCCCCGAATTAAGCCTGAATGCCTTCCACATCCCCCCCCCAGGCGCTGTATAATCCTCCGGGTTTAGCGCTTCCCCCTTGATTATAATAATACGATGGTGTGGCATCAATTACTTTGCAGGTGAAACTTAAGATATTTACCCAACTTAAAAGCAGCAAGGCCCTAACTGGCGTCCATTTATGTATTTACTTCTCAATGCCAGTATTTAGTTAGAGTAATTTGTTACCTGTATTGTAGTAGGTTCGCTGATCTTGTCCCGGCCCGGGTCTTTTCCAGGTAGAGACCCGGTGACTGCAGTTTGTCATCCTGTCTCGGTGCGAAACAGCCAAAGTGTTAAAAAAAAAAAATATTTATGTACTTAGTGACTAGTTCTTTATCATATCTTCGTCTTAAAATATTTTCGCAAGTTGAGGAGCACCTGTATACACTTTCCTCATTGAGTTGCTGTCATATAGGATTGCTATCTCCTGTCTTAAATAGCATAGATTTTCTTGCAGTGACACAAGTCTTTATTGCATGCCATTAAATGTACACCCATTTTTATATCTTCTGATTATTTTTCACCTGTTGCTCTTAATGTGTCAAAATAATTATTGTTCGGTTCTTATTATTCAGTTTTGAAATAAAAAAAAGTTGGTATTTGTGTGATTTAACATTGCGTTGAATTATCGTGTGGCCGGTGATGTTTTCATCGAGATCTTTGTTTTCTCTTCTTTTCCTTGTTCATTTTGAGGTACAGTACAATGTTAGTGTTGTTGCACAAATAACCTGGACATAGGAGAGAGAGAGAGAAGGTTATGGCGACATTTTGGTCTGTCTTGGACTGGCTCGCTCACTCTTCTCAATTGTTGTAACCACAAACAAGTGGTATTTAATCATAAGAAAGTAAAGGAGGATCACTGTAGCAGGCCTGTTGGCCCATACTAGGCAGGTCCTTTACAATCCATCCCACTAACAAAACATTTGCCCAACCCAATTTTCAATGCTACCCAAGAAATAAGCTCTGATGCGCAAGTCCTACTCAAATCCAACCCCTCCCACTCACGTACTTATAAGAACATAAGAAAGGAGGAACACTGCAGCAGGCCCATTGGCCCATACTAGGCAGGTCCTTTACAATTCATCCCACTAACAAAACATTTGAGGAAATGGTATAATGATACCGACAAGATGTGGAAAAAGACATTATGTACAGTTCAGGACATTTATTAAAGGAAACGTTTTGCCACGAGTGGCTTCTTCAGTCCTAATGGGAAGGGACACAACTGACAGTAACAACACTGCGGCTAGCTTGATGATCGAACCTATGTTTTAGCCTGCCTCATGGCGAGCAAAAATTCACGATGTATGGTCTACTGGTTTAGAGCGACGTGAATTTTTACTTTCCATGAGGCGGGGCTAAAACAACACAGGTTCAATCCTCCGGCTGGCTGCAGTGTTATTTTATGCCATTGTGACTTGTGAGTGGTCCAAGACCAAAATGTCATCATAAGCTCTTCTCTCTCTCATGTGCGGGTTGTGTGTGTCCTGGTTCAGTCACGGTATTGTATCTTATTGCTCTTAATTAGTCTTGTTATCTTTATTCCAAGAGGAAACACCTTATTAAACTATTCTACCACACTTGACAAATCAGTTTTGACACACTTCTTGCTTTCATGATTTTCAAGAGCAGAATATACTGTCTTGGTTCATTTTATTATTTTGACTTTAAACTCGTTAATAATATTAGATTATATATAATTGCGATAGGCATTAGTTCTTGTAATGTAATGCAGTTGTGCCCCTAGTGCCCTCTACCACCAGTTGTGCCCCTAGTGCCCTCTACCACCGGTCCTTCCCTTTTTTCCCATTTCTCATGCCCTTTTTTTCTAATTTCTTGCCCTCATTCTCACTTCTTACACTAGGTCATGCCAAGAATAATTATTACACTAGATGCTCCTCACTTTACAATGGTTCAACTTACCATATTTTGACTTTCGAATGTGATGGCAGTGCACATTATGCACTGTACAGTCTTCCACATTATAGATACGATAAAATTTTATTCTTTTATTTTTTAATGCTGATATTTACAGTAATTATTTGTATGTTTATTCATTGACAACAGTTATTTACTTATTTTTCATACATTTATATTCAAGTTAGGATATTTTTATCTTCTGATGGGTTCGTCGGAACGTAACTCTGTTGTAAGTCGAGGAGCACACGTAAAATTTATTCCTCTTAATCTCCTACTTTTTTTTTTTTTTTTTTTTTTTTTTTTTTTTAGAGATAATGCAGGATGAAAGTTCTTTAGACGTGATAACTGGGAAGCAAGTGTAGGACAAAGAATATTGCATGTGCATGATTTAGACTTGTTGTGTTTGAGAGTCATTGCATGTGACTTGCTTAATATAACTTGATTAATGAATGTACAGTGGAACCTCAAATATCGAACTTTCTTCAGTCCAGAAGGCTGTTCGAGTGCCTTTACCGAATGAATTTATTCCCATCAGGAATAATGTAAATTAGATTAGTCCATTTCAGACCCTCAAAAGTACGCTTATAAAAGCACTTACAAAAATACACTTACATAGTTGGTTGTGTTGGGAGCAGTTAGATTTTTGAGGTTCCACTGTAATTGGCAATCTGCTAACAGATGGGTAATAACGACACTGTAAGTCAAGCTTTGTTTGGCAACTGGTAGGTTTATTACCTGATGAGGTAGATATGTGCAACAATTGGGTATGTTCATTTTATACAGTATTTTATGGGACATTTAACCATTAACAGGTTGTAAAAGTTTGCATTATGTATACATCTATTAAACTTTGTGAAGCTAATACTGTCTTGAAAGAGCCATTGTTATTTAAGTTACCTTTGTAAACTATTATTGTTTGATTTTTAATTTGTAGATGAATGGTTCAGAGAACCGACATGTTGATAAATTAGACACATGTGCAACTCTTGGGTATCTTTATTGAGGAAACGTTTCGCCACACAGTGGCTTCATCAGTCCATACGTAGGAGAAACATGAAGAACAGGAAGAGGATTCTATTCAAGATTGATGGACTGAACACATCGACTCAAGGTTGAGGGACTGATTACCTCATTCTCCTCCTGTTCTTCAAGTTTCTCCTACGTATGGACTGATGAAGCCACTGTGTGGCGAAACGTTTCCTCAATAAAGATACCCAAGAGTTGCACATGTCTAATTTATCATTGATTTTTAATTACTTCTGCTACAGAAATGTGCAAGAACTTACCACCAGAAACCACAAACTTAACACACTAATAGTGTGTGTAGCTTCTTAGAGCAAGGAAGTGTACACATCTTGGGGGAGTGGGGCTCAATCCTGAAGCCGGGAGATATAAACACCTATCTTCTGAGCATACCATAGCAGGCATCAGTCGAGAGGCACAAGTGGTTCCAGGTTGTTAAGTAGGGATGTGGAGGGACGCTGCAACTGTCGTGTCTGAAGATTGAGACACTTGTGCAACATATGGGAATTTTTATTCAG